AAAAAGAAAGCACGTGTGCCCTCATCTATATTCCTCTGACTGCAACACATCTGCACTAAGTTTGAAAACACAAACAAACAGAAACAACAACAACACACGCACACACACACACACACACACACACACACACACACACACACACACACACACACACACACACACTCAACATTTTGGACAAGTAGTAGCACAACAGCAGATGTCATATCATATTATAACCTCTTTTTATTGAATGAATTGGGCGTCATCACTATTGTGCGTAGTGTTTCTTTCCACAACCAGTCATGAATGGGTCAATTGGCGACTGCCAATTCTTTCACAAACACTCTAAAGAGTATGGACTAACGGACTTAAACAAGAGTGTATGAACTAAGGCATAAAAATAAGTGAAAACTGAAAAACAAAAATGTACAATGCGCTTGAGAAAATGTTGTACATTATTTTGTCAAATAAAAAAAGTGCTTCTCCATTTAATGTGGTGTGTGTTAATTCTGTTCACCATATCAGCATAAAAAATGGTGTCTTAGATCCAAACACAAAAGATAATCTAAAATCCAAAACCAGTAGTTAGATTTTTTTCTTCATTGAGAGCACCTCGCCTTGAAGTTCAAAATACACTTTCAATTTGAGGAAATTGTACTAAATTTCGCCCCGATTTTCTTTCTCTTCAGGTCACTCACTCTCGCCTGCCTGCTCCGAAAGCTCCCTCCCCCCCCCCCTGCTTAACAGTTTGACTGAGTTGTAGCACAGCAGATGTCACCATACCATAGATCTAATCTTATTGTACTGAATTAATTGGACATCATCACTATTGTGTGGATATTTTTATCCAGTCATGAATGGGTCACTTGGCAACTGCCCAGCTTGTTTGGTTCAACATTTTTTGTTTTCCTGAGCCCATGGTTCCATAAAATTCAGAACAAGTCCTTTCGTATAGTCTTCCTCATGTCATCTTGTCTTTTTGAAAATCTTTTTTTTTGCTGTCTGAAATCACGGATCATATCACAATGAAGAAAAAGAACAAACGAACAAACATACAGATACCCACACAGCCACGTACACACATACACATATACACACAAACACCCACACCCACACACACACACACACACACACATGCAAACGCACACACACACACACACACACACA